AAGCCCAGGCTGGCACCTTGGACTTGACCGAAGCAGCGCCTGCGCAAGCACCACAGCACCACGTTCCCCCACAGCCTCAGTGCTGGGGTCAGGAACGTGTTGTAGCATCAAGTTCTGCATGTTTGGCTTGATATCTCCGCCTGCCTTCTGCAAAGGTGTAAACCTGTCTCTAAAAGCAGTGTAGCCACGTTTCCACAGCAGAGTAGCTTTGCCCCTGGCTAACCTGTGCCAGGTGGGTGCTGGGGGTCTGTGTTTGTACCGTGCAAGTGCTGGTTGCTGAGCTTTGGTCTGTCTCGATGCTGGGCCCACGAGTGGCTGATAGTGGGTAAGGGGAGAGAGTGCCTTTGCTCGCTGCTCAGGCTGTTCAGACAAGATTCTGAGTTTGTTTTCCTGCCTGTAAAGCTCTTGCAGATGGGCAGCAGCCAACTTGCTGGAGTTAGTGCCCTGCCTTCCCTCCTGTACGTAGAGAGGGAGAGCATCAGTGGCATTGCAGAGCTGCTCTGCCTCCTTCAGCATAAAGGAGATTTACCTCTCTAGGCTGAAGCGGGGCTTTTTATGACTGTTCCCTCTTCTTTTGAATCCCTCCCTGCGTGAGATCAAGAGACAGGGTGAATGAAGCAATGCACTGCTGTGCTTGGCCAGAGCTCATTGAATCTTCTTGTACTCATAATTAACCATTCTGATTTATTCCAGCCACACAAGCTAAACTAAGTGTGGGTGTCTAGTAGTGACTGTTTTCTATGGAGTGGTGGTAGCGCTTAAAAATAAGGTCATTTTGTTTATGAAGTTGGCTGTTCATGCTCCATTTGAGATGATGGTGTTTTAAGCTACAAATCTTTTCTGGCAGTTCATTTTTTTGACTTTCCAAGCTCTTCCTCCTTATCCAGGGGCAGAAAATGGCTCATAATAGTGTTATGCAAGAATCAACCTATCTAGGAAACTCGAAGTAGGGTTTATATTTTGCCCTTCTGAAATGAGGGTGACTGCAGTAGATTGATAAAATCTCCTTGAATCCAACTGGATATTATTAAGATTGCCGAGTTTGCACAGCTACAAGCGTCTTCATCCCTCATTACATCCACTGAGCAGTAGAACTAAGTAAGAGCAGCCATTTCTCATTCTATTTTCTTCTATTTATTCACTCTCATGTGTATTAGAAGTCTGTTTTGTTTCCCTGAAATAGTAGGACAGCTGCATTACTGTGGACTGTGACTATATTCTCTGTTGCTTTTTATTTTTCTTGGGCAATTTGACTGTTAGACATTTTCATCTCAGTTTGAGCTTTGGTTCTTTTGTCCTAGTATTCTCCTGCACAACAGTGACAGTTAATTTTCTATGCTGTTTGAAATAGTGGTGTTATGGGTTCTGTGAACAAATGAACAGAGCTAATATTTTGATATCTGATTTATGCACAATGTGTTTGTTCTTGCAGTTGTGCTTACCAGTGGCTTTTGCTGTAATGTCACTTAAGACATTCACAAGTGTATGTGAAGGGAACTTTTTTGCTTGTTACTAAGTTGCCTTCCTCCTGCCCCTCTACTCTGCCTTGGTGAGGCCACATCTGGAATATTGTGTCCAGTTCTGGGCCCCTCAGCTCAAGAGAGACAGGGAACTGCTGAAGAGAGTCCAGCGCAGAGCCACAAAGATGCTGAAGGGAGTGGAACATCTCCCTTACGAGGAAAGGCTGAAGGAGCTGGCTCTCTTTAGCTTGGAGGAGAGGAGGCTGAGGAGTGACCTCATAAATGGTTATAAATCTGTCAAGGGGGAGTGTCAGGAGGACGGAGCCAGGCTCTTTTCAGAGATGTCCAATGACAGGACGAGGGGCAATGGGTACAAGATGGAACATAGGAGATCCACAAAAATATGAGGAAAAACTTTTTCACTGTGAGGGTGACAGAGCACTGGCACAGGCTGCCCAGCAAGGTTGTGGAGTCTCTTTCTCTGGAGACATTTAAAACCCGCCTGGAGGAGTACTTTATGACCTACTGTAGGTGAACCTGCTCTGGCAGGGGGGCTGGACTAGATGATCTTTTGAGGTCCCTTCCAACCCCTGACATTCTGTGATTCTATACCTTGGAAATAGAATCTTAGCATACAGCATAAAGGTCATTAAAATGAAAGTCCATCGATTACAAATACTTTTGGTGTATAGCATCTTTGCAGGTATGGTAGCTTGTGTAATGTCCAAGATGGATTTCAGTTTTTAGTTGTTGGCTTTTTAACAGCAGTGTGACATACCTGAGAATCACTTTAGTTTATCTAATAGGATATATCTAGGTCTTGTGGGTTGCTTGCTTGAATAGTGACTAAAACCTGGTCTGCTTCTATGGCTAAAGGCTGTAGCCTTTTCTGAGCTACTTCTGTATTTTGGTCTAAATTGGGGTCACGTCTTTGTCTTGGTTCCTTTTACTGCAGGTATCCGTCATTCTTCTAGGTTTTAATGGAAATGCTACAGGGACATCCAAAACAGGCTTGAAATGAAGCAAAATAGAGCAGAAACTTATATTAATGCTTCAGTTTTTCAGTAAATGTAGCAAAGTGTGATTAGACTGTGAGATTTTACAGTTAGCTGTGCTGGCAGCACTGCGTTGCAGAATTAAGACTTTCGTCCTTGAGCTCTTTTCTAAACAAGTACATAACTCTTGCTTGCTAATTATGTAGAGAGACCCTGACCAGCTGAGTATAGCTCATGTTGGGAGTTCGTCCGTAAGAATGGACAGATAAGAGGCTTCTCATACACAAGATGTGCATGGGAGTGAATGGGAGAGGATGATAAAAAAGAGACCTGGGAAAATCTGTTCTCCCTGTGTGATAAGAGAGTGACTGAAGGAGTACATGAGCTAATAACAACCCTGGCTGCATAGTCTGGTCTCTTGTTTGTAACCCACAAATAGTGCTTCTTGCTAAGAAGTATAAATATGTGTGTCTGCCTGCAATAAAGTGAATTCTGTTTTCCACCATCTCGGAGTTCATGCGTGCTTCTCCACATGCTAGCTGCTCTTAGAGATGCTGGAGGCGCTAGCTCTTGCTCAGCAGGGGGTCAGACTGAGAAAGTTGGGGCTGTTCATATGGGAGAAGAGAAGACTCCAGGGAGACCTTATAGCGGTCTTCTAGCACTTAAAGGGGGGCTACAGGAAAGCTGGGGAGGGACTGTTTACAAGGGTGTGTAGCGACAGAACAAGGGGCAATGGTTTTAAGCTAGAGCAGGGTGGATTTGGATTAGACATTAGAAAGAAGTTCTTTACAATGAGGGTGGTGAAACACTGGCACAGGCTGCCCAGAGAGGTCGTGGAGGCTCCATCCCTGCAGACATTCAAGGTCAGGCTTGATGGGGCTCTGAGCAACGTAATCTAGTTAAAGGTGTCCCTGCTCACTGCAGGAGAGTTGGACTACATGACCTTTAAAGGTCCCTTCCAACCTAACACATTGTATGATTCCATGAAAAATAAATGTAGATGAAGAAGAGCATACAGGTGGGTGTGTATGTTTATGTGCATCTTAAATCGTACAAGCTCTGTGATGTGCAAATGAGGCTCTTGGCCACCATAAGTGCTGAACTAGTGACTGCAGCTCACTTCCCTTTGAATGCCTCTGTGGGTTGCACAATTTCAAATAAAGTATTTCCATTAAAGGAAATACAAATACGAGTTTATGCTACTTGCATTTTTGCCTATTGATTCATAGTTGGGTTTTCTGCAGCTGAAAGCTACCACTGGTACTAGCTTTCAAGATGCTTATGTCCTTGACCCTTTAAGTTATTTTTAATAAGCTTCTCCTTGCTCGCTGTAACTTTATTTACCCGTCTGTGCTCTTGCTGTCCTCTGTGGAAGTGACCCGAAAATACCTTACTGATTGAGCTCTTCCCTTTGAAGTACCCATGGGTGCTGAGTCTGTCTGTAAAACTGCATTTGAGAAGTTCTGAGTGAATCCTGTACTGCACACATTACATGAGTTACTTTAAAATACCAGCTTGATTTTTGTTACCAATGTAACATGGTTAGTGTCTGTGTTTCTGTCTTGACAATGGAGGAGATGTTACTTAGCAGTTTCTGTCTAACACAGGTGTAAGCTTAACTGCAGTTTCATATTCAGTGTGCTAAACCCATAGTCTGTAGAGATTTATTTTTTTTTGAAGCAGTAAAGAAAAAGAGAAAGTTTAAAAAATTGGTCGTTGACTAAAACATCTCCAGTTGCAGTATAGTTGGGTACAAATTTAGTTATTGCCGTCTGGTTCCTAATCCATTGTACTTGCTGCTGATCAGCCTGGGCAAAACGCAGCTTGTGATCTTATACAAGTCAAACTTCTCCCTCAGTTCAAGGAAAGAATATTTTAATAAATTCATTTTGATTCTGTTTTGCTTTGCAAAGCATATGCAATGAAGCTTTTATCCACTACCTCACTGAAGTCTACATATAACTTCAAATACTCCGAGTACTCCAGCTGAGTATGTTATTCAAGTAGAAAGAAGTAGTTCTCTATCAGAAACATACAAATAGTTGAACCACCACACTGATAAAGCAAAATCTATAGTAAGCATTTCTCACATTTATGTGACATTGCCACTTTTGGCATGACTACAAACAAAATTACTTGTACTTAAGCTAGATATTTTGAACCTAATTTCTACATCTGAGCCATTTAACAATGTTGATGCTTTTGAATCAACATATTGATCAACACAGAGATCACTTTTTTGTTTTTAAAGTAGTCCAAATACCATTTCATTTGCATTATAGACCTACCACTTTGCTCCATCATCATCTAATTATATCCAACTACCTTGCTTCCTTTTTGTGGGGTTGGGCAGAGTGCTTTTGAGAATAACTTCGCTTATGCAAACAAGAGCAGAATAATTAGGGAAGCATTACAAAATAGTTTCCTGCTCTTCCATGCCCGAAGTCTGAGCAATCTCTTTGCAGCTCCCAAATTATGTTGAATGTACCAAAAAACCTAGCACGTCTTTCGCAGGCTTGTGAGGAATTACCCTTTGCTCTGTGTGTGTGTGTACATTCATATATATGTATGTGCTTTTGGCTGTACAATTCTCATAATTTTCCCTGTCAATGCCATTATAAATTGAAAGAATGCTAATTATTTCTTATTTGAGATTGATTTTTAGATACTAACTCCCTAATACACTTCTTGATTAGAATTCACGTAAAACAGTGTTGCAATTTTGTTGACTTGGCACTTCTCTATGCCCTACCTGCTTAAGAAAAAAAAAAGAAAACAAACTCAAAGAGGTTGTAACTGTGATGGGAAAAGTTACATGTAGCAGGGTATAAAGCATAAATGCTAAATTATCTAGACTTAAGGTAAACTTTACCAGTCTCATGGATTAGTAGCACAGTTAGTTTTTCAAGGATCGTTTTTTCTCTCCTTTCATACACAAGATCAAAAAGCTCTGGGTCCACATTAATCTGACCTTTGTATACAATTATTTAAACAGTATCACCAGCTGTTAAAAACACCCACGTGCTATTTGCTACGCACAGTCAAGTCCTTTCACCTAACCTGTGGAACCAATGCAATTCAGCATGTTTTTAAAATGTGTGTTTCTCCAAAATGCATGTCTGTCACTGGTGTAAAAACTAGCCTTAGACCAAGGCACACAGATCTATTTGGAAGAGCTCCACCTAACTGGTGGTTTACTAGAATTGTAGAGGTTCATCCACTGAAAAATTTCCATTTCAGAGAGGTAATTTGTGTTTTCTTTGATAGTAATTCCCTTAAAGAAGTTTCAGTTGAATAGGTTGCCTAATTCAGTTAAAAATGAGGTAGTAAAGTTTTCTTTTAATGAAGGTTCACAGAAGTAGGGTGGAAGCAGATCTACTTAAAGTGGTGCTGTGTTTGTATCTTTTTTGTAATTGCTGACATAGCTTCAATGTTCTTTACTTCTATGGTATTTCCATTTTTAGATGGAAAATTAATAATCCTCTCACTTGGAGGGTGTTCCTCATAGCTGCACGTTATGAGACAAATCTCAACTAATTCTTAGGAATCATTTCAGATAAACTGTGTGAACTGAGTGCACCCACTTCAGGACTGATGCATTCTCTTCTGCACTTTGCAGGAAATGAAAACTGAGACTGGCACTCAAGTGCCATTTGTTTAATATTTCAAAAATAAATAATACTGAATGCTTTTCATAAATCACAGCATGGTTTGAGTTGGAAGGAACCTTTAAAGATCATCTAGTCCAACCTCCCTGCTATGGCTAAGGACATCTTCCACTAGATCAGGTTGCTCAGAGCCCCATCTGACCTGACCTTTACATAGTCACAACAGTGTTTGTATTTTTTTAACAAAAGTAAGGAGGTTTAATATCCTTTCAGAAATATTTTTTTTTTCTTGAGGCTAAGATTAGACTAAGAAAAAGCTCTTAATGTTCTCAAAGAAATATTTGGTTAGCTTAGGAACCCATAAAACTATAGTTCCAATTGTCCATGTCGTTGCATCCCTGCCTAAGCCTAGAAGTAGGAGAGTGGGCACGGGTGTGCCATTGTGGACAGAACTTGCCCAGCAGCTAAGTTTAGGCTGTTCCACAACTATGGCTGAAATTCCAGGACTGTGAGCCAGAGGAGAAGAAATAGGTGATTTTCCAATTGTCATGACTGAGATAATTAGATATAGTCACTCTACCAACAGACCCAAATTTATTAAAATACTGCAGTTGGATGGTGATTAAAATTCCAGTCACTCTTTTAAAAAATGACTCTGTACGAATTGAATTATTTTCATGACTTGTAACACTCGCAGTTCATCTACATTTATGTGTCCTTTTTTTGTAAATGTGTATATATAATTAAGAGATGCTGGAAGGTTATTATATGAATTTGGTTTAATAAGATGTTTTAAGTTTTTGCTTTAAGTTTGTGTTTCAAGATGGATGAGACAAGTAAAATTTTTCATTTTGTCACTTGAAAGCTTTCCCTCTCACTAAAAACAAACAATAAACCCTAGCCTAACTTCCTAAACTTTCCTTTTTATCTCTTCCCTCTAAATTCTGTGGCTTGATTTATTTCTGGGAGAGGTAATTTAGGAATAAACTGCGTAAGGCTGCTTTTGCAGAGGCGAAACAAGAAAAAGTGATTCTGAATAAAGGAGAAAAAAAAAATCATTCCTTGCTGCATCTGGTTAATTATGAAATAAAGGACAGGTTTTAAAGTGAATACACCCGCTGCTTTTCCTGTTATCTAATACAAGTACAGTTTATATGTAGGATATTTACTTTGTTGTTTTTTCCATGCCCTTTTTGTAGTTTGCTATGACAGACAAAACGCTCATTTGTGACTAGTGACTGCTTTTCTAAAGTTGCCAGTCTTCCCTTGGTGGTCATGTATTAAAAGTTGCAATACAGAAAATTACTCTTAGAGGTCATCAATTTTAAAGCTGAACTGTTAGAGAATTTATTATGTGTAGCGCTTCAGGTCCCTATGCCCTAAACTCTTTTCAGCAGCAAGATTCTGATAAGGAAAAGCAGTTGAGCAGCATTTGACAGTGTATGTGTGCTTAAGTGTCCCAGCAGGATAATATTGGAGAAAAAGATAATCAGGGAAGAGCAATCTTCTAACAGCACGTGGCAGGAAGAGTCATCTCCACCCAAGATAACCACAGGTGACTGTGCTAGAAACTGAAGATTAATAAGTAGTGTCAAGGCAGGATGGCTCTATTTGCCCTTGACAATCAGTGGTGGTCTGGGAACTTCCTGAATGTTCAGAATTCTACTTTTAGGACATGTCCTGCAAGCCTATTGTTGTTGTTCTTTTTGTTTCATATGTTCCATTTATAGAAATAAAGTAGAACAAAGCGAGTAAACAACCAGGATACAGCAAATAGCATATAATTGTACCTAAAAATAGATATTCTAGAGAAAGCCGAACACCTCACGAGCAACAGAAATAATCATTAACATGCTTGAAAAATGTTTTTAATGAGAGAGGAAAACACTTTGGTCCTGAGAGCCTGGGTAGAACAAAAAATGATAGAATCAAAATTTATCTTAACTTTTTCATTCACCTTAACATTTGTGTTGTTAACATTTATCTAGCTAAAGTTAACTCCCTTGACTTAATGTTGCAACATTTGGATGTGTCGTAAAGGTTATGATTGCAAACTTGTGATATTTGCATAATAGTTGCATTTTGTTGTTGTTGTTGTTTAAATGCATCTAGAGCATATTATTTTTTCTGATGTAGTTTGACTGCAAGAGCTATGCCATATTGCCCGTAAGCTGGTAGATTCACCACAAATTAACATAAGGATACTGTTAGAGCTCTTCTAATTATATGTGGGTTTGGAAGGAAGTGGTTTTCTTTCATCAAGTGAATCACAGCTCACATATTTCTCTGCTTTTCCTGGTGAGGTTCGATGCAAAGGCACTGGAAGTGGGTAATAGCGCACTGTAATTTTCACAGATCAGTGTTGTTCTCATGATCAGTGTTGTTAATACACAACTGATTTCGGCACAATTGTCAGATTTCAGGACTGGAAAAAAATATCCCTGTTATTTTACCTCTGTAAGTTTTTTGCTGGTTTTCTTCTCGTTTTGAACTACAAAAGGAAGATAACTTTCCAGCAATGTGTCCCTGCCACCTCCCCCAGCTGGTAACTTCAGGCAGTTGCTAGGGCCCAACAAGTCCTTTGTCCAGCCTGTCTTTCTGAAAATATACTTTCTTAAGACAGGAAACATTAACATAGCCTTTAAAAAACCAAAACAACAAAAAGACCTGACTACATTTTGCACGTAAAAATGTGTGTGAAGTGCATTAAAAAACATTGTGTTTGTGAATTCTGCCTGGGGGTGCAAATGCCAGAAAAGACACAAATGTAGCTTGTCAGCTGCTATACTGCATTGTGGATATTCCACACTGCTTTACCTTTTATAGATATTCTGAGAAGCTGAACAGAAAATCTCGTTTGAAACCCTTTCCCCCATTTCTTTTGATGTTCTGCAGCTTCTCTTAGACCACGCTGTAAGAAGAGCAGCCAGCTGAGCTGGGAGGGTGTGATGCATGAGTGAGCTCAAGCTGGCAAGAAGGTTGAGTTCAGTTCAGGATGGAGGTTCACCTACTTAATTCTCAATTGACTTTTTTTCTTCCCTAAATTAGTTCATTTCTTTCTCCAAATTGGTTGTATTTGCATACAGTTGACATTTATCAAAAGAAAGATGCGCTGCCATCTGGTGTCTAAACTGTGCTTATGTGGGCAAAGACATTTGTGCAGAAGAAAATCTGATGTGGTGTAACAAGTTCCTTCCTGTAAAACTTCCTAAGCTCTGAAGAAGAGACTGTACTGTACAGAATAAACAGTGGCCATGCTAGTGAGCCCTGCACTAAAAAAAACCCCATAACACAATGGTTTGATTACTGGGAAATTGTAGGCAAGGTAAAGGATCTTGCATGTAAAAGTGCCTGCTGCTCATTTCTTTTGTAGGTGGAAGAGGGGGAGATGGATGCCCTGTTATCACCTTTCCAGACTATCCAGCTTTCAGCGAGATCCCTGAGAAGGAGTTCCAGAACGTCCTGACCTACCTGACGAGCATCCCAAGGTGCGAACCTGTCTTAGAGAAAATATTCTCTTATTTGCTAAGTGATTTTTCACAATCAGTCACTTACATGATGGTGTAAAGGTCAGACTTTGTTTTTAATTAAAAAAAATAAAAATGCAGCTTATGATGCAGTGTCAATAAGTGTTGATCACTTCCTGTTATGTATGGATGCAGATTCTGTGATGGACATTGACCTCGTTTCTTATCTTTGCTGTACCTTAGAGTGCATTGCTCTGTGTTTTAACTGAAAATGTGTATAATTTTGGTGGAACATTCTAATTCCTGGATGTCACTCAAGATGTTACTCAGTGTGAGGGAATACTTCATAGTTGCATACAGAGGTTTGTCTTAATCACTTGTGCTCTATTTCCTGGTTTAGCTGAATGGACAGTCTTTGCAGCGCTTTCAAAACTTGGACTGAGGGTGCTAAGTGGGCTCAGCAGTTAATTCTGGCTCTCTTAGAAGGCATGATAGTGTTATCAGTGGGCTCCTTGATCAAAATAGTGATTTTATTGAAAATCTGTTAGGGAATGAGCTAATGGGCTTCAGGATCCTAATGTAGGTGGGGATCCTTCAGGATCCTAATGTAGGCAAGTAGCAGAGTAAAGTGTAGAACTTGGACTTCAAGAGAACAGACTTTGGGCTTATTCAGGCAACTGATAGGTGGGATTCAATGAAAGGCAACTGTGAAGAGTAAATCTGCTGAGGAGGGCTGCCAAGTTTTTAAGAACAGGATCCTCCAAACACAGGAATGGTACGTCCCGGAAAAAGAACAGACGTAAGAGGAGACTGACTGGCTGAACCTTGTGACTGAGCTGCAGGACAAGAACAGCATACAGGAGGTGAAAGGAGGGACAGGCTACAAAGGAGGATATAGAAACTTTGTCCCAACATGTAGGAATGGTTTGAGGAAAATAAAAGCACATCTGGAACTGAGGAACAAGAAGTAAGGGACATCAAGACCTGGAGTAGGAATGGGAACAGAGCAGTTCTGAACTGGACATGAGGGGAAGAAAGTTGTTGCTGGGAGAATAATGAAGCACTGAGACAGACTGCCAAGAGAAGCTATGGAGTCTCTGTCCTTGGAGATTTTTGAGACCTGGCTATACAAAGCCCTGAACCAACCTGGTGTGAACTTAAAGTTGACCATGCTTTGAGCATGAGTTTGGACTAGGAGCCTACTGAGATCCCTTAAAATCTGAATCATTGTATGAATCAAGAGATCTCCTTTATGTCTTTTCCAAATTGGGCTACAAGGCTCTCCCGGATTTAAAACTCTTAGAAATACAGGTTGTGTAACAGTGAGTAATGGATAATGGCATTGAATGCACCCTCAGTAAGTTTGCCG